CTGTGTGTGTGGGGGAATACACATGTGTATGCGGGGGAACAGACATCTGTGTGCGTGTATTCTGACCGTTTGGAAGTTGCATCGCGTTCCCCCACCTGCATGCGACGAGCAGAATGTTGAGGCCTGTCAGTCTACACACACCCTGTCTATGCCGTCGAGGCAGGCTTCACGGCAGGATACAGCAGATGTCGACGAGCTACAGCTCCTGTTGCGGGCAGCATGTATGCTTGGATCTTGGGAAGGAGCGCATTGTGTTAAAAGCTTCGTCCTCTGTTGAAGTTGGATGCCGGTACTGAGAGGGTACCTTTGATGCCGGCACTGAGAGAGTGCTTTTGATGGCGGCAGGCCGGCACTGAGAGAGTGCTTGTTTAAATGCCGACACTGAGAGATGATTTCTGCTGTGGACCTCTCGCACTCAGGCATGCTCTTCCTCTGCAGTCGGACAGGGCCACTAAGATTCCACCACACGGGTGTGATCGACAAAAACTGGCGTTGGCCAGGTGTTGGCAAATGCTGAGCTCCGGGGCACGGGCCGGTTCAGCTGGTCAAAGATGCCTGCACTGGAACACACTGACAGTAAGGAGTCGCGCTTGACGACACTTCATCACTTCATCATGACCTACTCTTCTTTTTATGCTGCGTGGCACTTGTGGGTCGTCCGATGTCGCATGAGCGCTTCGGTCTCTAGGCTTAGCCGTGGCACTTCGTCGACATACGGCTGATCGCCATTGTCGGGGTTGGTGCCCACTATGTACATACACGAGACGGTTAGCCCGTAATACGTGGCCTGCTCCTGGCCTTTCGTGGCCTGCTCCTGGCCTTTCGTGTGGCCTGCTCCTGGCCTTTCGTGGCCTGCTCCTGGCCTTTCGTGGCCTGCTCCTGGCCTTTCGTGGCCTGCTCCTGGCCTTTCGTGGCCTGCTCCTGGCCTTTCGTGGCCTGCTCCTGGCCTTTCGTGGCCTGCTCCTAGCTTTTCGTGGCCTGCTCCTAGCCTTTCGTGGCCTGCTCCTGGCCTTTCGTGGCCTGCTCCTGGCCTTTCGTGGCCTGCTCCTGGCCTTTCGTGGCCTGCTCCTGGCCTTTCGTGGCCTGCTCCTGGCCTTTCGTGGCCTGCTCCTAGCTTTTCGTGGCCTGCTCCTAGCCTTTCGTGGCCTGCTTGCTCTTGGCCTTTCGTGGCCTGCTCCTGGCCTTTCGTGGCCTGCTCCTGGCCTTTCGTGGCCTGCTCCTGGCCTTTCGTGGCCTGCTCCTGGCCTTTCGTGGCCTGCTCCGGGCCTTTCGTGGCCTGCTCCTGGCCTTTCGTGGCCTGCTCCTGGCCTTTCGTGGCCTGCTCCTGGCCTTTCGTGGCCTGCTTCTGGCCTTTCGTGGCCTGCTCCTGGCCTTTCGTGGCCTGGTCCTGGCCTTTCGTGTGGCCTGCTCCTGGCCTTTCGTGGCCTGCTCCTGGCCTTTCGTGGCCTGCTCCTGGCATTTCGTGGGCTGCTCCTGGCCTTCGTGGCTGCTCCTGGCCTTTCGTGGCCTGCTCCTAGCTTTCGTTGGGCCTGCTCCTGGCCTTTCGTGGCCTGCTTCCTGGCCTTTCGGGGGCTGTCAGGCCTTTCGTGGCCTTTCTGGCCTGCTCCTGACCTTTGTGGCCTGCCTCCTGGCCCTTTCGTGGCCTGCTCCTGGCCTTCGTGGGCGCTCCTGCCCTTTCGTCCCCCCCCCCCCACCCCACTGGGACTGCTCCTGGCCTTTCGTGGCCTGCTCCTGGCCTTTCGTGGCCTGCTCCTGGCCTTTCGTGGCCTGCTCCTGGCTTTTCGTGGCCTGCTCCTGGCCTTTCGTGGCCTGGTCCTGGCCTTTCGTGGCCTGCTCCTGGCCTTTCGTGGCCTGCTCCTGGCCTTTCGTGGCCTGCTCCTGGCCTTTCGTGGCCTGCTCCTGGCCTTTCGTGGCCTGCTCCTGGCCTTTCGTGGCCTGCTCCTGACCTTTCGTGGCCTGCTCCTTGCCTTTCGTGGCCTGCTCCTGGCCTTTCGTGGCCTGCTCCTGGCCTTTCGTGGCCTGCTCCTGGCCTTTCGTGGCCTGCTCCTGGCCTTTCGTGGCCTGCTCCTGGCCTTTCGTGGCCTGCTCCTGGCCTTTCGTGGCCTGCTCCTAGCTTTTCGTGGCCTGCTCCTAGCCTTTCGTGGCCTGCTTCTGGCCTTTCGTGGCCTGCTCCTGGCCTTTCGTGGCCTGCTCCTGGCCTTTCGTGGCCTGCTCTTGACCTTTCGTGGCCTGCTCTTGGCCTTTCGTGGCCTGCTCCTGGCCTTTCGTGGCCTGCTCCTGGCCTTTCGTGGCCTGCTCCTGGTCTTTCGTGGCCTGCTCCTGGCCTTTCGTGTCCTGCTCCTGGCCTTTCGTGGCCTGCTCCTGGCCTTTCGTGGCCTGCTCCTGGCCTTTCGTGGCCTGCTCCTGGCCTTTCGCGGCCTGCTCCTGGCCTTTCTGGCCTGCTCCTGGCCTTTCGTGGCCTGCTCCTGGCCTTTCGTGGCCTGCTTCTGGCCTTTCGTGGCCTGCTCCTGGCCTTTCGTGGCCTTTCGTGGCCTGCTCCTGCCTTTTCGTGGCCTGCTCCTGGCCTTTCGTGGCCTGCTCCTGGCCTTTCTTTCGTGGCCTGCTCTTGGCCTTTCGTGGCCTTTCGTGCCGCTCCTGGCCTTTCGTGGCCTGCTCCTGGCCTTTCGTGGCCTGCTCCTGGCCTTTCGTGGCCTTTCGTGGCCTGCTCCTGGCCTTTCGTGGCCTGCTCCACGTTTTGAACGAAACTTTGGAGCGAGACGTTTTGACCGTCTTGGGGCTGGGGCGGGGGCTGAGGCTGGGGCTGGTCTTTCAAATTTGTTGGGGCTGCGAAACGTTTCGAACGAAACTTTTGAGCGAGACGTTTTGACCGTTCTGGGGCTGGGGCTACGGGCGGGGGGGTTGAACGAAAGTTTTTTTTGTGAACCATGTTTTCAACTTTGTTGGGGACTGCGAAACGTTTCGAACGAAACTTTTGAGCGAGACGTTTTAACCGTCCTGGGCCTGGGGCTACGGGGGGGGGCGGCCACGAAATTGGCCCCCTTGGGAATGTTGGGGCACCATCCTACATAGAAACTACTGGAGGTTATGGAGAAATTGGTTTATCAAGAAGCTTGTTCCGTTTTTGATCGGGTGGCTGTTTTGAGTAACGCCAGTTTTATCCGAAATGCTGGGCCTTAGCGGTGGTTACAAACAAGGACAAGCAATTTCTATTTATCACTTTCTTGAGGGTTTAGGGTTTAGGGTTTAGGGTTTAGGGTTTAGGGTTTAGGGTTTAGGGTTTAGGGTTTAGGGTTCAGCAGCCAGGGTTCGAGCAGTTTTAAGTAGTGGTGTTGTATATGGTTTTTTTTTTTTTTTTTTTTTCTTTTTTGTTTAAGAATAACACCCACCCACCCTCAGAATCCCATAACATTAAGAAAATAGAGGGTTTTTTTTTCTCATCCTTCGAAACACCTACCTACAACTTAGCTTCACACACCTCTATGACTATGATGTTATAGTCAAACCCTAGGCCCTAATCTCAACTACTGCTTGGTTGAAGGCCAGCACGAGAATGTTGTTGTTCGGTCTCCGTCGACATTCTCTTCAGACGCTTCCAGTTGCTGTTGTCGCTAAACCCTAATTTGCTTATGGTGTCAACACAACCAGCTGAAAGATTAGAGTACCTTCATCAGTTCCAACCATACGTCGGCTCGCCTTGTTCTCGGAACCAGTTCTTCCCAGCTTTGCCTAGTCTAATTCCAGCAGCTCTTCAACCACCCTATATCCTTCAATCAAGAATGTCCCCAACCCACCCTAGATCCTTTCTTTGGGCCTCGACCACGAATTCCATTAAGGTTGAAATTACTATATGATAAAGAAATGACCAGATGTTTGGACAATTCGTGGTCCAGGCACGTTTTGGGCCTGGTCCAAACATCTGGTGACCAGATGATTGGAGGATTCGTGGTCCAGGCACGTTTTGGGCCCGGACCACGAATTGTCCAAACATCTGGTGACCAGATGTTTGGAGGATTCGTGGTCCAGGCACGTTTTGGGCCTGGGCCACGAATTGTCCAAACATCTGGTGACCAGATGTTTGGAGGATTCGTGGTCCAGGCACGTTTTGGGCCTGGACCACGAATTGTCCAAACATCTGGTGACCAGATGTTTGGGGGATTCGTGGTCCAGGCACGTTTTGGGCCTGGACCACGAATTCCATTAACATTTAAATTACTATGTGATAAAGAGGTTTAGGGTTTAGGGTTTAGGGTTTAGGGTTTAGGGTTTAGGGTTTAGGGGTTTAGGGTTTAGGGTTTAGGGTTTAGGGTTTAGGGTGTGTCGAATCAACTGTTGCGGTAAAAAGAATGTAGGACGGACGTCAGAGTTTTTTTGCGTAAGAGAGTTCGTCACGTCCGTGGACCTCGATATAGATCCCACCACAACCCACCCGGAGCATTTGTCCTTAGCTTAAGTCCTTAAGCGTCCAACACGAAGGAAATACCCATGCAGCTACAGGGAGGCGGACAGTCTTTCCCCCGTTACGGCGGCGATGACAACTCTAAGAAAAGAAAGGAGGAAACCTCGAGATTCGCACCTGCCCTGCATTAAGAAGCACATTTTATGACCAGAATTTGGTACACCAAAATCAGCACCAGTTTTCCAATCGCCGAAGGTCAAGCAAAGTTTAAAGCAGCCACACGAAAAGAAAAGCCGTGTTTTGCTGCAGAATGTGGCTTCGGCCGCTTTGGGCACCCATAGGCACCGGATGGTTTAGAGCAGGCACACGAAAAGAACGGCCCTGTTTTGCTGCAGAATGTGGCCCCGACCTGCTTGGGCACACACGAGCACTCGAGGGTCCATTTTCTGATCCGAGCTCCGAGGGACGGAGTTTAGGGATTGGGAAGGCGGCTAAGAGCAGCCACACGAAAAGAACGGCCCTGTTTTGCTGCAGAATGTGGCCCCGACCTGCTTGGGCACACACGAGCACTCGAGGGTCCATTTTTTGATCCGAGCTCCGAGGGACGGAGTTTAGGGATTGGGAAGGCGGCTAAGAGCAGCCACACGAAAAGAACGGCCCTGTTTTGCTGCAGAATGTGGCCCCGACCTGCTTGGGCACACACGAGCACTCGAGGGTCCATTTTTTGATCCGAGCTCCGAGGGACGGAGTTTAGGGATGGGGAAGGCGGCTAAGAGCAGCCACACGAAAAGAAAGGGGGGCACCTCGAGATTCGCAGCCGGCGTAGTCTAAAAGGCACATTTTATGAACAGAATTTATCACTTGAAAATCACCAGCAATTTTCCAGAATTCTGGAAGGCAGAATGTGGAAAATCTAAAATTTAGAGCTGGTTGTCCTTTTCCGAAGAGGACAAGCGCGACTAAATGAAGAAAACCTTGATTTTAGAGCTGGTTGTCCTTTACCGAAAAGGACAAGCGCGACTTAAATTTAGAAAACCGGTTTAGGGATGAGGTAGGTGGCTAAGAGCGGCCGCATGAAAAGATGGTTAGAGCAGGCACACGAAAAGAACGGCCCTGTTTTGCTGCAGAATGTGGCCCCGACCAGCTTGGGCACACACGAGCATTCGAGGGATCCGATGGTTAGAAACACCGGTTTAGGGTCCTATATAACTCCATGTATTACGGAATACTTGCAATCAGTTATGAGCTTACTAGTAAATGGTAGTAATTATGTCTATAATTACCATTTACCTCGTAAAGACTAGAAAGTCTTTCGTTTCCTTCCCGAACACGGTGTAGTACGCTCCTGTACGTAATAAGGCTTAAGCTGAGCATTCAGGCTTAAGCTTTTGAGTTTAGGGTTTAGGGTTTAGGGTTTAGGGTTTAGGGTTTAGGGTTTAGGGTTTAGGGTTTAGGGTTTAGGGTTTAGGGTTCAGCAGCTCCGGGTCGAGCAGTTTTAAAGTAGTGTTGTGTCTATGGTTTAAGAATAACACCCACCCACCCTCAGAATCCCATAACATTAAGAAAATAGAGGGTTTTTTTTTCATCCTTCGAAACACCTACCTACAACTTAGCTTCACACACCTCTATGACTATGATGTTATAGTCAAACCCTAGGCCCTAAACTCAACTACTGCTTGGTTGAAGGCCAGCACGAGAATGTTGTTGTTCGGTCTCCGTCGACATTCTCTTCAGACGCTTCCAGTTGCTGTTGTCGCTAAACCCTAATTTGCTTATGGTGTCAACACAACCAGCTGAAAGATTAGAGTACCTTCATCAGTTCCAACCATACGTCGGCTCGCCTTGTTCTCGGAACCAGTTCTTCCCAGCTTTGCCTAGTCTAATTCCAGCAGCTCTTCAACCACCCTAGATCCTTCAATCAAGAATGTCCCCAACCCACCCTAGATCCTTTCTTTGGGCCTCGACCACGAATTCCATTAAGGTTGAAATTACTATATGATAAAGAAATGACCAGATGTTTGGACAATTCGTGGTCCAGGCACGTTTTGGGCCTGGTCCAAACATCTGGTGACCAGATGTTTGGAGGATTCGTGGTCCAGGCACGTTTTGGGCCCGGACCACGAATTGTCCAAACATCTGATGACCAGATGTTTGGAGGATTCGTGGTCCAGGCACGTTTTGGGCCTGGACCACGAATTGTCCAAACATCTGGTGACCAGATGTTTGGAGGATTCGTGGTCCAGGCACGTTTTGGGCCTGGACCACGAATTGTCCAAACATCTGGTGACCAGATGTTTGGAGGATTCGTGGTCCAGGCACGTTTTGGGCCTGGACCACGAATTCCATTAACATTTAAATTACTATGTGATAAAGAGGTTTAGGGTTTAGGGTTTAGGGTTTATAGAAATTGTTTAGGGTTCAGGTCCGGAGTTTTGACCGGGTTTTGTGCGGTTTTGGGCGGGTTTTGACCGGGTTTTGACCGGGTTTTGACCGGGTTTTGGGCGGGTTTCGCCTTTTGCTTTAGGTCTTGCTTGCCGAACTGGCCGGGTTTTGGGCGGGTTTCGCCTTTTGCTTTAGCTCTTGCTTGCCGAACGGAAACTGAAAGTGTGAGGGTTCGACCCCTGTTTTTTGCTTTTGCTCCTCAGCTCCTCAGCTTTTGGGGTGGGGGGGCAGTGGGGGGGCGAGGGCAGCCTTTTTTGGCTCTCTAACAACAAAAAAGGTTTACCTTAAGCGTTTCTAGGCTCTTCCTAGGGCCAGCCCCTAGGCTCTGCCTAGGCCAGCCCCGAGGCTCTGCTGGGGGGTGGGGTCGGGGGGCAGTGGGGAGGCAAGGTGAGCATCCGCCCAAAAACTTTGGAACGGGCGGGTTTGGGGAGGGGAGGGTGGTGAGACACGGACGGAGGCGCGGTGAGGGAGGGAGGGGGGAGGGGAGGGAGAGGCGGGGAGGGAGGGGGAGGGGAGGGGAAGGGGGAGGGTGGGGAGGGGCGGGACTTTTTGGGGAGGCAAGGTGTGTATCCGCCCGAAAAACTTTGTGGGGGAGCGGGGAGGGGGGGAGGGGGGAGGGGGCGGGGGGATAGGAGGGCGGGGGGAGGGGGGGAACGGGCGGGTTGGGGGAGGGGCAGTCAAGATACGGACGGAGGCGCGGTTGAGGGGATTGGAGGGAGGGGGGGGGGGGGGGAGCGGGCAACATGGCACCTGCCAAAGAAGGTGAAACCGTGGGCGGGGGGGGGGGGCGAGTAAGGATGAAACCGCGCGGGGGGGAGTGCAGGGGAGTGGTGAAACCGCGCGGGAAGCGGGGGCGAGTGG